CTCTAAGGATCTCACTGATTGGCATATCAAAGATAGCCCAATCCGACACCTAGTGTAGTATCATAATCGAGTCTAGGGGTCAGGTGTAACATTCCAGTTTTGCCCACTAATCACCAAGGTCCAGGGCAATACTGGAATTCTGGTCCGGTTCAGGGTTTCAAGTGAACCTACACTGCATGTACCTCGGGTCTCACTCTAGCGGCTGAGACAGGCCACCCCAACCAACTTGGCGGCATCAATGTTAGCCTTATCAGGATAGATCTCCCCAGATCGACCCACTGGCTGTGAAAATTCTAAATTAACACGAGCCTCATAAGTGTCCAATTTAAGGGTATTACATAGAAACACACCATAATAGCATGAATCAAATATGTACTTTATTCATTTACAATAAATGTCATAAGTACATCAATCTGATTGGAGCTAAGGGCATACACTATCTAACACAAAACATGTAAAGATATCTCCACAATTCCGGTTATGGATTTCTGTTATGGCCTACATAATAGAAAAAAGTTCAGTTTGATCAATAAAGGTAATAGTGGAAATTCGGCCTCCTATAATTTTTAAACGGGATACATTCCTTGATAGTATGATAAGCCAAAAGGAGTCAGATATTTTCCCTGCATCAGTAAAGATAATAAATCAATAGATTGGTTGATACGAATCACAAACTTTTGAGTAGTGGGATGCACATCAAAACCATGAGAATCATTCCGAGGCATGGAGATATGGACTATTTAATTTATTATATTAATGAGAGTTTGGGGAAGTATTTGTCTATTTCTGAAACATTTCTCAATTCGGGCATACCAAATATAATAACAAGCAATAGCAATTGAGATGTAACTGACAATGTGATATTGCTTCATGACATAGAACACCAAGTTTATCTTGAGGGTTAAGACAAATCATGTCTTAGATGGGTTCCATGTAAAAGTTGATAAATTTGTCCTGCATCAATTGAGATGTAACTGACAATGTGATAGATGACACTGATGCAGCAATAGTTCCATCAAAAATAATGTTTAAAATGGCCATCCTTTAAGTTATTTAATAAACCAATCGAGGGTTGGCTCATTCGTGTATTAACTGGTTTATTCTAATGTTGATGTGGAATTAGATTTCGCAACCAGCACCTTGGGAAAAAAGGGTCAAGTAAAAAGTTATTAATGATGCATGACACCGAATACCAAAAAACGAATCATGTAATGCATCAATTCCCCATCCTTTAAGTCATTACCACACATAAGGAACCATTTGACTTGAAAGGTAGCCTCTAAATGGCCCCATAAATACTTTACATGCAGAACTTTACCCCACAAGGATGTAGGTGAAGTAAGAAATCTCCCTCCCAGACCAATTATAATGGATTGGTTCTTTAGATAAGTGCACGGAAACTTAAGGTCTACGAAATCAATATATACAAAATGTGGAGATGTGTGATGCATTCAGCATTGAGAAAATGGTAATCCCATGTGCCGATTATAAAGTGAGCGTGCAAGGATAATCCATTGTTTTGCGCGTAACTCCCCTCGTTTTAATGTGAGAGCAGATTCAGCTCTTTGGAAGAAGGTACCATTTTTATTTAATACACGTGTTTCTTTTACTTTTTCTTTCTCCTCTCTTTCTCCTTTTTCCCCTGGATCTATGAATACTTTATAAGAACTGCACCTCACAAGAAATATTGACAATGCACGGTCGGATGTGCCTGTGTGATCGTTTTGAGGTGCCCTGTGTGAGGGGCAGATCCCACCACCTCCACGTTTACGATTCCAGCCGTTCCTAGCAGGATATGTTTCGGTAGGTCCCACGTCTAAGCAGCTAAAGCTGAACTTAGAATAATATAGATGTACCTTATCATTTATTCTGAAGAAGATGCAGCTTGCAGTGGATCTTCGATGAATTTAGTCCTTTTACGATGGTGGGCCCCATATCCAGTCCACCTCTTGAATTTTGAATATGAGAAAATTCGGTGAGAATTGAGAAGCGTAAGCACTCATGCAATAAAAACCATGCCACGAGCCAAAACAGGATAAATCCTGACCATCCTTTCCAGGCCTCTCACACTCTCACATTCACAAGAGACCTCTCACCTTCTCCCTCCTTCACCCTCATAACCTTCAACAAGGATTACCCAACTTCAAATTTCTGAGCTTCTTCAATGGTAGTTCCTTCAGAAGGTTGAGAATGGCTGGTGATCAGTCACACTGAAGTTGTTAGCCCCTTCTCCTCTATTGTTCCCTCCTTGTCCTTCACTTCACCATTTCTGTTCAAGGCCTCAATATTGAAACCCAGGCCACGAATAGGGCTATCACTGTCGTTAGTTGTTCGATCTTTCAACCATTTTGAACTAACTCATGTATGCATTTCTCTTTGTTCTCTTTAATTTTGTCTTTGTACATTTCTACAGTCCAAAGAATGCAGTGGAAAGTCTGAATCAGAGTTCTCTTCTTCCTTATCTTTCGGGAATTTTCTGCTTGAGTTTTTATACTAGAATTTTAGTGGGCTCTTCTGGTTATTTTTTATTGATTAGTCTTGGTGTTTAATGATTTATGCTTGAACTCAAATGGGTTGTTTTGGTTGTGAAGCCAGCTCATGAAGGGTCCGGAAGTAGTTGGCATTGTGTGATACATGTCTCAGTTAATGTGTCTTTAATCTAAATGTTTTTGTTCCATTAAACAGAAATTATCCATTATTTTATTATTTTTCTCAAAATAATTAAAAATAAAAACAATGAAAAAAGAAAACCTATACGTGTTGGGAATTGGAATTCATTTAGGTTTTTTTTTATTGTTTTTTATTTTTAATTATTTTGATAAAGATAACAAAATAATGAACAATTTCTATCTAACGGAACAAAAATAGTTGAATGAAAAACACATTAACTAAGACATATGTCACACAGTTATTACATGCTCACTCATTATGCTTATCTAATGTGCCTATTATATCTCATGAACCTTCTTGAATGCTTTGATTGTGAGTTGCATTCTGTTTTTCGGCAGTTTGTGCGGACAGGCATAAGTGGGACATGTGGCAAGATTAGGGAGGAGAAACTTGTTAGGCTTAGCTGTCTGAGACGTAGGACTTTCAAGTGGAATCCAATTTGCTCTGTGGATAAAGTTGGAAACCAACATGCTTTTTTATCTCAGTAGTGGGAGAGGGATAAAGAATTGCTGAATTTATGGAAGAACGACCATTATGGGCTTTCGAAAAAGAAAACGACCCTTAATTATTAATTATAAAGTCTTCATTTTTCTGTACAAAGTTACAAACTATAAATTCTCAAGTTAGTGAAGTTGGAGGTTTCCTCGAAGTGATGTCAACGGGTCGGGTTTAATATGGTCTTGATCAAGATCAAACCCGACCCAAAAGAAACCAATGGGATCCAATCAAATTAAACATGAATACCGAACCTGACGTGTGTGATGTATAGTGCGTACTCAAAAAAAAATAGATGTCATTTTAATTATTATCAGTGAATGACCCCGTACTAAGTACGGGAAATTAATAATGTTAAATTTATATTATAGAATTATTACTATTAAATTTATATTTATTAATATTTTAAATAATTATTAAAATTTAAAAAAATATTTATTTCAAAAAATAGCTTTTCAATAATTATTAGAATATGGATAATTTTTTTTGCTATGATACATAAAGGATTAATGATTAAGTGAAATTGATAGAATGTAGGTAGAAGTGGTTGTGGATAACTACTTTTGCATTTTCTACATTTTTTTAGGAATGGATTGAAAATGGTAGTAGTGGATTGTAGGCTTTAGAAGCAACTTCTCAAAAAATGTTATGTGTCTAGCTTTCCAAAAAAATGAGAAAGCCATGTATTTGAATAGTGGGGAAATCTAGCTTGATAGTGAGTTGTGGGTTTTAACAGGAATTTCTCAGAAATTACCACCTGTCTAGCTTTTTAGAAAATGGAAATGCCACTTGCCTGAATGATGGTAGTGGGTTGTAGGTTTTAACTTCTCAGAAAATGACATGTCAAATTTTGAAAAAACCATGTATCTGAATAATGGAAATTTTAGCCTGAAAGCCTTCCTTTAATATATATATATATATATATATATATATATTAAATTTGCAAATAACCGGTGCATGGGAATAGAAAGAAATTGATCCTACATCAGTTTTTATTCCATGATTTCATCATCCAATGCAGTCAATTTCAAAGCTTAAGGAAATCAATTTTATTCATTTTACTCTTGATTTTTATTTCTTCTGTAAACACCGGCATGTGGGATTACATTACTTCAAATATGAAGCCGTTGATTTCAAATATCTAAATCAATTTTTAGATATGTCACACACTTTGATTAATTATAAATAGATAAGATACCCCTCTCTGCTTGTGAATTATTATATGATATTTTTAGTCAATTGAAAAGAAAACATCTAAACACTTTTAACTTACTCATTCGGTAGGTTTGGAAATCAACGCGATACACCCTTTACATATATCATAGCGATACTTCGAACCTTGTGGTCGAATACAAGCCAATACAGAAAATGGCATCAATACAGGGCCATTTCACCGTGCCACATGCCCGTCACCTTGGATACCAATTTAAACCATGTGTCAGCCTCGTGTTAGGCAATAGACTACTGAAAATATTGATGAATATAACGAGACCCACAAGCATTATTATTAAATTATTGATGAATGTAACGAGACCCACAAGCATTATGGGATCCAACATGGATCATGATCCACACGTCTATTGGATTAAGGTCTCGAAAGTAAAAAAGCGAAACAAAAAAGGGCAAACCAAAGTACCATGTTAATTTCCGAGACAAAAAAGGGGGCCCTAATTCAACAGAACAAATAAAGCTGTCAAGTAGATTACTTGGCAGGGATCTAAAGACCATCAACTTATATCTTGTAAAGATAATACAAGGATTTACAGATTAGATTGACTTGCATTTGTGGTACTGTGTCTTGTACCCAAAATACTGAAACTACAACCAAATGGGAGATCAAGCATCACCGAGAAATAAGCGCTTCACCATGTTGGTTATCTTCTTTTGGGAAATCCAAGCTCAGGGCCACCCACTTGTCGTCGCTGATGGGCAATATGGTGACGCCCCTAGGGAATGTCATGTCTGGCTTGCGAGGGTATACCCTTATCCTCTTACTCAGTTGAGGCCTTTCATTGGCCACTACCTTAATATTTGAATCAACAGCAGATACACTTGTACCCACATTCAAGCATTCTGAGCCCCCGGAAGACAGTTTAGGTGAACATGGCCCATCTGATGAAAAATCATCATCGGATGAGGAACATATTGATGGAAATGGATCCCGTAGATGGGCATATATGTCATCTGATGAACAAGGCAATTTCTTGCTTTTCGGTGTACTATCATTGGCATGCCCTGAAGGAAGCATAGAGTGACGGGTACCATCTTTTGCATTGGCTGAAATTCTTTCTGCCAGATTTGCGTCTTGATCTCCACCTATGATACATGAATAAATATGATCATATTTGCAGAATTTTCTGCCTATGCAAGTGTTCTAATTTTTTTTTGGTACCTCAACATAATTATTTTTGTCAACAAGGATGAAAAAGATGAAATTGTAAGAGAAAGGCATGCATCTATCTGAAATCAAATGAACCAAACCGAGGTGATCAGGTCTGTTCATATTTAGACCAAATTGAGCTGATCTGGACTCGGGTTAAGTTGATTTGGATTTATGTCAATTTGAATCAAGTGTGTTGATTTGAGACAAAACTAATTTTAGTCAATAATTAACAGAAAATTAATACATTAATTATAAATTATTTCATTCAAATGAAAACAAATAAAAAAAAAGGCTAAGGAATTAATACTTGTATCTTTAGTGGTTAACCCAATGGTTATCCACAACCCAACCCGACCCAACCCATTTAAATTGACCCAATGGGTGATCAACCCATTTCCAACCCGCCAAGTAAATGGGTGGGTTGGGTGAAAAATTGCCACCCCTATTTGTGTTAGAGTCGATCTTCTTTTTGTTCTTAAGATCAGGGTTTTCTACAAAAACACTTTTAATCTTTGCATCAATTGTGGTTGGAGGGGCCATAAGGCCTTTGAGTGTCCAAAATCCCCGGAGGGGGAGGGAGGGGGGCGGCAAACGGCAATGGGGGATGCACCGTGGTCAGTAGATGTAAATTTAGATAACATGAAAGAAAAGCTCCCATGAACAATAATGTTTTTGGATCGAAAATTTTTGTTCCTTCTAAGGTTAACTCTTGGGCTGGCAAGCGAAGCAGTTGGAACTCGATGAAAAATAAAAGGTTTGCATGTGCAGAAGAGTACTCCAAAACCAGAGTTTTCAATTCAGGTATGGCAACTAGTGAACCACGAAACACCAATTATCCAAAAGCAATTTGGGTTCCCAAAAAATGGTAAAAGAAACAGTATGTACAATCGTGGTCTGAACTAAGAAGATACCTGTAAATCTTAAGAATAATTTCAGGTTCCATAGGAATAAAGAAGACTTGAATGAGAATGGAGGTGATCTTGTAAGAGAAGAAAACTTCAAAGATGATGATGCTGATGACAATCTGATGGAGGAGGATTGGGACGAGTTGGATGATCAAGAGAAGGTTTTAACAACAAAGAGACTTCAACAAATGAAAAGGACAATATGGGTCCAGAAAATGCAATTCAGTATAAATGATTGTGATTAGTTGGAATGTCAGAGGGGCAGGTAGGCCCTGGTTACAGCGTCATGTTGTTAATCTGCTATTTGTTTTTTGATGGAAACTAGAGTTAAACCCAGATCATGCAAAAAGAATTGTTAGAAAACTTAAATTTGATTATTATGTTTTAATTGGATCCTATAGGATTTCCTGGTGGTTTATGGAGCCAATGTTATCTCCAACTTGTGTTCTCTAATATAGACTGGCTCATTATCTAGTCAATGAGAATGCCTCAAATAAGTCATGGTGGTGTACTTGCATATATGCTCCCCCAAACAAAAGTGAACAGAGAACGGTTTGGAACTGGGTTAGAGACATTGATAGTAGCATGATGGAGGATGCTATTCCCAAATGCCCTTCTTTCCAATCTTCCTTTCTTAGCTTCTGATCATTCTCCTTTGCTCCTCCCTCCACACAGATTTGCCTAATCATAACGGGCCTAAACCTTTTAAATTTGAATCTATGTGGTGCTTGGATCCACATCTTAAAGAATGGCTCTAGAGCTATTCAATTTGTTAAAAAAAGGAATAATTTAGCTAGACCTCTTAAAGAATGGAGCAAAATGTGATTTGGGGATATTTTCAAAAGGAAGAAATCCCTTTTGACTAGATTGGAACAAACCCAAAAGAAAATTATTGAAGAGCCAGCTCTAATTAACTTGGAGAGTGCCCTCCAGAAACAGCTGGACAAAATCCTAGATCGTGAGGAGGCATATTGGGCCCGTGGCTGAGCTGCAGTTTGCGCTCGAACGCGCGGGCTAAGTTCATGGCTGTGACCAAATTTGGGGGACTCTGCATCTCGACATCCACCCGCAGGGGTTCTGATAGCCCTGCCGTGAACATATCCACTTGCTGGTCGGGTCGCACGGAGGATGCCCTCGCGAGGACGGTTTGGAACTGTCGCTGATATTCAGCCACTGTGTCGGTCTGTTTAAGGTTAATCAGCTCACCCAGTGGGTTGCTGGTCAATGGGGGTCCGAACCTAAGAAGGCAATAGGACTTAAACTGGGGCCAACTGAGCTCGGGTTCTTCTTGCTCTAACCGATAAAACCAAAGTTGTGCTTCCTCTGTTAAGTGAAAGGCGGCTAGACTTACCTTATCCCGGTCATCTGTCCGTTGGTTCCGAAAAAATTCTCGCAGCAATACAGCCAGCCCAAGGGGTCTCCGTTGCCGTTGTACGATGGGAATTCCAGCCTGTTGTACTTGGGGACGACTGCGGTTCTTTGGCTAACGGACTGCTGTTCGCCAAAAGAATCTGGCAGATCTGGTCGGCGGCCATTGGCGGTTGTCCCTCCTTCAGAGTTCCCTTCCCTGCTAGAAAGGAATAGCTCCATCAGGCATCGCAGCTCCCTCACTTCGTCTTTGATCTCACGGACTTTGGAGCTGGTCTCCACGAGTTGGTGCTCGAGGTCGTGGACCCTGGATGGTAGCTGCTCCAGATCACCCATGACACCT